GAAGTGATGAGAAGATAAGTTTATTTTCTATTTAAACATAAAACAGCATTTTAACAACAGCTAAAGGTGACATAGATACTTTTTTATGATATAGTATTTAAATATATGCCTGAGAAACACATAATATTGCCCCTTTAAACGTTTAAAAACAATTAAAACTTTTGTTAGCAAGCACCTGCAGCACACCGCGTCAGCGTCCACTCAGGTGATATGAATGGTTTATACTGCAGCAGTTAGGAGTTAGTTTGAAAAAACATAACAGGGACACAATAGAGCAGGGGTGTCAAACTTAGTTATAGAAGGGGCCTAAAATTCAAGACTTGGTATGAGTCAGGGGCCAATCTTAATATTTATTGAAAAAATGTCCATTTTAAATGTCATCAAACAAGTTTTTCTTATTTTCCATTTTACAATTTGTTTTTATGTAGCATTTAAAAAACACATAAAGCAGAGCAACTGTGTTTGCTGCATGACCGGTTTCACCTGTTCCCCCATGTTTGTCTTGTATGTCTTCTTGAATGGGTGTTTCTTAACTGCCCCCTCCCCCTTCCCTGAATGTACAGGCCCTTGTGAATTTATTTCTGTGAAAGGCACTATATAAATAAAACTTTACTTTACTATAAAGTAAAAAACTTACATTTAGAAATTCATATCCATTTCTTAGATTGTACACTTTATTTACAACTGTTTCATTTACCATTTCTTCGAAATACATTTGGTCAAAATCCTGCAAATCAGTAACGCAGTTATTTGGCTATAAAAATGGAAAAGAATGTAGAATTGAGGTCAACTACTGTTGAGAAAATACTACACTAAGTGACAAAAGACAAACAATATTTTATGTTCAAAATATTATCTTTGGGGCCAGAAAAAAAGCTAACAAGAGTTGGATAAGGCCCGCGGGCCTTGCATTGGACACGTGCAAAAAAATAGTATGTTGTAAAATTTGCCAGCAGGTAAACGAGATACTCCCAAACATGAGAGAAGGTGATGTCATCAGCTTAAAAAACAGTGATTTAGGAGGCAAAGAAAAGCTGTAACAATGTTTTCACTAAAACACGAGGCACAGACTCACATGGTGGAGTTTTGGAGCAGAGATGTAGCGTTAACAACAGAGGGGTTGTTCCGGATCAGACTGAACCATCCTGTGAGGTCATAACGGACCGGGTCGTAGCCCATCAGATGGCTGACTTCACACTGCAGAGGCTGCTCGCACTGACGGACTGCAGGGACACAAACAGTCACTTAATGCACTGAGTAACACTGGACTGCACTCTCTGTAACACTGATTCTGGCCTAAAGAGCCTGTTCAGACGTGTCGCTGCAAACTGTTGAACAGAGCTAAACACAGACCTGAATAGCTTCTGTGTGACTCACACGATCTACAGAGGTGGTCTGGATAAAATGTATCTGTGATTTGAATCTGTTCTGATCTTTGATGGAAGATATTCTGACCATAAACAAAAGGTCTGAACAGCTCTTAATTATATCCAGTGTTTTCCCTAGCAAAGTGGTCTTGGCGAGGGGGGCTACTTGTTTTATAAAAACATAAATTTACGCGACTCACCTGCAATTATGGTAATAAATTTACACATACATGAATATTTAATTGCCTAACTACATCCTAGTTAAGGATTCAGCATGATAATTATCAATAAAATTATTATTGATAATAAGTGATCAGAACTGTGTGCAGCAGATGATCTGAG